AGTTTTAAAGCCGCCTCTGTAGACCTAAATCACTTAATGGCATCCACTAAGCAGTCAGCAATTAAAGTAACCCTGAGTGGCTGAGCCTTAGCTCAGCATAGTAAAATTCTAGGAAGGGAGGTAGTACTTGTGGCGTTATGGCACTCTGCCTTTGGTCGAGCACTCCGGTAATTAGCAACTTGCGGCGGTCTAAACCCAGCTTGGTCTCTCCCAGTCTTTCAGACCCCAGTGGAGTTTCAAAAAGTGATTTTGATAAAAAATAAGAATTGAACTGTAAAATTGCCTAATGACTTTACTTGGTTGCACTTGCAAAATGTCATCAATGATTGAAAAAATGACAATGAGTCAATGAATTACCTACTTTCATTGGTGATTGGTTGCCAATCATATTTCTAGTCCCAGCCTGGGCAGGCTCTATTCCAGGCTTCCTTGAGTTCCATCCTTGGTTTCTCTTTCAAGCTTTACTGTTCATGCCACTGTTGGAAAAGAATGTCGCTAATGTTGCAATAAAAAATATGCACAATGTTGCTCACAATCTGATCTATAATTCACAAACGAGTATCACAACATGGGAGTCAAGATCTTGCTGTCAAACCATGAACCGTTGGCCATCCCAAACCTATTGACTCCTTTGTCAGCCCTGGATGCCAGTCACCGCCAGCACATGGGCTGGAAAAGTTCTTTTTTTCTCTGAAATATCGCAGCTCTAATATCATAATTTCAGTAGGTATGAAATCTCGTTGCTCAAATGTCATAAATTTTTGTTTGATTGAAAAATCACGGTTTGCACTTGGCAAACATGTCATTTCATAAAATTTTCAATTTGCACAATCTGCATTGCTTTACTGTTCCCACCTAAATATCCTGCAGAAAAAACATAAACATCGTAATGTAAACAAATCAACTGGACATTTTGTTGAAGATCGCGCATAGTTGCAGTCATGTCAAAGCGGTCAGACTGCATTAACACGTGCTCAACTTACAGTAAAGACAAATTTTATTGTTGCCATTTGATGATTTGACTGTTTTAGGGTAAAATTAGAGATTTGGGGTAACAAGTGCATGGACTTTGTAAATGAATTCGCACCTTGAAAATGGCTTTTCATGGTCGAGATATGGAACTCACGGCTCGGTGAAATGGAATCACGGCTCGAAGAAATGGAATCATGGCTGGCAAATCCATAAAACCACGGCTCAAAAAATTCAGTCGCGGCTCACCAAGTAGATATATTCCATGCCTGGTCACCGCTACCTTGTTTGGTTGCCAGAGGCATGGTTCTCTACTGCCTTCATTTAATGAATAGTATTCATTACATTTTCAGATCTCCTATCTTTGATATCAGTTTTCTAGAATTTAATTTATTCTATCCTATTATTAAAGTCATGTCTTTTGAAACTGCGTTACATTGTTACGTATATAACTTTGAGAATAAACTTTAGGTTGAATAATTTGTGGTCATTTGGATACCTTCAGATGAAATGTGCACCATATTTGCTTCATTATTTATAATATTTATATAAAATATCCAACATTAAATGTCAGCTCAACATAAGTAAGTTTTTTTTCATATTTTTTTTTCTTGTCACAACGGCCTAACGCCAAAAACATAGCATGTACATTGGTGGTATTTGCTCTCTTGAACGTATCATGTTGATGTTTGTAGCTTTCAAATGAGTGTAAACACTTTGAAATTAACGAGAATAATGATTTATAAATAGGTACAGATTTGATTTAAAGAAATCTTTAAAAATATTGCTACATATTGAAAAAAAATAATCATTTATATATTTCTGAAATTTCTTTATGCAAAAACTAGAGCATGCACATGAAAGCAGTGTGCTGCAATAGACAAGCCTTTTCAAGCTAGTAGCAGCTCCAAAATGAGGAAAGAAGTAGGAGTAAAATTTATCAATTTATTTAGCCAGACGCTCCCTTGAATTGCACAGAAATTTGTATGAATTTAATAAAAATTGGCTTCATTAAATAATATACCCAGATAGGGCATTATCTTTTCATAGTATAATTTTTAGTTTCAAACAATTTTATATTGATTCAATGCTATGCAAAGAATTCTATTTATGCTTCTACAAAGTATAAACTATGGACTCCTTGTGCATTGGGAGTGCTTGCAACCGGCCGCAGCTAGCTTGTACGGTTGCCAAAGTCACTCTTCTGGAGTGTCTTTTTGTTAGATATTAATTGATTTTCTGGATCTCCTATAATTGATTTCACATGTACATATGAGCAGAGTGATACTAACCATGCTAATAAGTTACAATGGTTATTTTATAATAGTGCAATTAATATAGTTCATGGCCATATCTTATGAATTGAGTTCATAGGAAATCAATTGATTATCTTTTGGTTTGGACAAGCCCTAGATCCTTTGGAGCGCTTTGAAGTGCTCTGCATCTTATATCTTCGAAGGATTGATGCTAGCCATCTCATTGGACAGTCTGCTTCAAAACTTTGACCAATTAGCGCTGGGCATTCTCTCCTGCGGAGCACCGACCGACCGCAGTCCACAGTGGTTGACTGGAATTAGCGAAGGAAGGTGTAGTGACCTGTGGCACTCCAATTATGACAGAGCACTCCAATTTCCCAAAAGCTCATGTTCTTTTATTTACCTATACTATAGAATGGCACCTTGAGCCTCAGAGCCTGAGGCTTTGCTTCCAGACTCCGGGTCTCAGCCCCAGATAGGCAGATCATTAGATGCAATCATCATCATGCTAACTTGCCAAGGATCTGAGAGGCTGAAACTCTTGCATCTTGGGTGACCGGTCTATTATAGTCCACTAATGCATGATGCACTTCTATAGTTGATATAACATGGTATTATGAGATTTTGAACCAATCCTCAATGTTTATAGTTTTATGGACAGGCCCACACTGGGCACACCCCACAGCACACTACTCACAATAGCACCACCTCTCACTCAGTCACTGTCTCACAAGACACAATGGCATATGCCATACCATAAACAGGGTGCATACTGGTCATGGAAAACCTGGAAAGTCATGAAATTTGATTTATCATTTTCCAGGCCTGGAAAGTCATGGGATTTCAAAGAGCTTTGAAATGAGCCTAAATTTGTTTATGAAATGTTTCATGGTAAGAAGTTATGAATGAAAAATGTTCAAAATCGTCCCGAGTAGCCCCGGTTGACGGTATATATATTGTAAATGCATATGTTAATTTATAAATTACTTATAATTTGTTCAAGTTTTCATATCAGTTGATGATGAAGTTCAAAACCTAGATGCCTACTAGCATTTTCATTGGCTATGGTATCTGTGTTGCTGAAGTCCAAATTTTTTGGTTAATTGCTCAATATGTGTGGTAAACATGAAATTTTTGTTAAACTCTGTATAGTCAGATGGGGTAAGACAGGATCACAGCTTTCATGGGGTAAGAAAGGACCAGCCTATGTCATGCGTACTGATTGCACTGAGTTCAATTTGATATAAGAATTTGTTAGAGCAACATTTCCTGTCATTTTGGTGTTTGTCTCAACAATTTACTGCAAATAATGATTTCTAGGCAATTTTTTTTAAACCTAGGTGGAGACAGGTCAGAAAATAGGTTACCTTATTTGGGAAATAAGCTCTGTCTAGTGACATAATACTCTTTTTGCCAGGCTTGTGGATGTATTCAGGTAACCTCAAGTAAGGAGTAACTTTTCAGCCATACCAGACATTCCTACCAGTTACCCTTTACTGCCTGATATGCATTCTAAAATGGGGTAAAAAAGGACTGGACATGGGGTAAGATGGGACCACCAAATGGTTCAGTTTCATCCCACAAGTGATCCTGTCTTACCCCCAAATGGACCTATCTTGCCTCATAGATTAAAATTATACAACAGACATATATAGGGAGTATAAAAATAAAATTTTTATCTTCTGCTCAAAACAACAAATTTTTATGTTCATAAAGTAACTTTGTGGAGGCCGAAACAGGGCTCATATATGCATGCAGTGTTACTCATCACATTCCTTTTCACAGGAATAAAAAGCTATACATTTTAAACAATAACTAACAAAACAATGCAATAACAAAAGGAAACAATAACAAGTGACCCATCTAGCATTTCTAGCTGGACCTGGGACAGCAGAAGACAGAAGGAGAAACAATTTATAAGCATTGAATAAGTGCTGTTTGGCCCAGTATGCCCAAATTTCATAAATAATTTTTTTCAGTTTCCTGATGTAGAGGCTACAGCCATTATTCAAAAATCGAAGAAAAAAGCTTGCTCCAAGATTAGATGAACAACCATAGACTTGGTAATGGCCTGACTGAAGGACTTGGTAATGAAATACATATATATGGTGAAAGACACAAGGCCTGCAGTAAATTATAATAATCAGACTGTAAGCACCATTTTTATATTTAAAAAGATTAATTTCCTTGTTGTTTCATTATCTAATATGTTTCTAGATGAAATAATATTAAATATCTAGTCCTTGATTTTATTAAAAACCTAGAAATCTTGAAGTTAGAGGCTTGTCCTGTCTTACCCCAACATGGTCCCATCTTACCCCAGTGGGGTAAGATGGGACCAGCCCACTTTTTTTGCTTTGTACAAAAAAAGGTTAAAGTTTCAAAAAGTCTGAGTTGGGGGATAGAAGTCCATTGCACCAACATACCATTTGGTAGTTTCATGGTTTTTCATTTATTCATGGTATAGGTGCTACATGCTTGTTAGTGATTTTGGTCCTGTCTTCCCCCATCTGACAGATATGGTATAATATCACATCCTGATTCCTGATGTAAATAAATAAAAGCTGAACATATTTGTTGCTGTATATCCTAATTATGACAGGTTGGATTCTGCTTTGACTGGAACTATTACTTTAGTGCTGATGGTCATTATATAATGCAGTATAAATTTAGCCTGTCAAATCTTATCCCTGCTTTTTATTTTTACTCATTCTTTTAAACAATTTAAACAAACTGTCCACCATCAAAATCTCTATGATACTTATAACCTTTCCAGAGTATGCTTTAGCTGTATTTATATAACAGTTCATGATGGCATCTAAATTGGCTGCTGTGGAGTTAGAGTGTCAAGAAGAGGCAGAGAAATGCAATAAAAGTAATGTAAGCAATATTTCTTTGTTGCCTCAAGCCTTCATGACCCCAAAATCGAAATTAGCAAACGCTGAACGGAAGGTGAAGCTGTGGAAGAATCGTTACATGGCTCTTCTAGATCTAACTCGCTTCAAAAGACAGGTGAGAAAATAAGTTCATCTGATTTCTGACTCCAGCATGATTGTTTATTTTCTTTCACACATTTATTTTTGACATTGCAAGCCTTGTTAGTGAAGAAAGCTTTTTTGATGAAATTCCTGGTCTTAATCAGTTCAAGCAGTGGCTATTCATATTTCCTTCACTACTTCACTATGGAGTCCCTAAAAATCTAATCAGCTCTTCTGTTTAGATACTTAAGAAAAGAGATTAAATTCTTGAGCCTCGATCATATATAGGTTTTGGCTGTGTAAAGTGATTCTGAGTACATTAATTATTTTCATCAAGAAATGGATAATATTTTGGTCATGCATCAAATTATTATGCGTAAAATGTGCATGCTCCCTGATGATATCCATTGCAAAGCATCTAAAGCTTGGTGCTTGATAACCTCTGAAACGTGATGAAATGATGTTGTCCTGTAGCCTGTGGTCTAATCTTCTCCTCAGTACCATCAGTAATATCACCATCACATGGTAAACGTGGTTAAATTATTGTGCAGTGGATATTTTGCAGGAACAAAGTTGCAGAATAACTTTATTCATTTACTTTTTGTGCTATCCAGTGCTGAATGATTCTGTTTGATTGATTATAGCTTCATTGTATGCAGGATAATACCGTATCACTGTTGTGTAATTTAGGTTAATAGGTCTCACGATTGTCACACCCAAAATGTTGTAGCTTGCTCACATAACTAGTTTATTCAAGTTAATGCCTACTTATATTGATTTTTTCATGCATAGCCAAGTTTAAGCTACTGTCTATGCATATATATATATAATACTCTATTGGTCTGCTAGTAAATTTGAGTAACCTAAATTTTCAAAATTTACCATAGAATTATTTATATTCTTTTTTCTTTTTGAACTTCAAATAAAGACACGAAAAAAATCTGTTTGGCCTGCTGTCTTTTCCAATAAAACAGTTTTTATGGCATGTTGTGTATTGTGTTTCAAATTTAATTTGACCAATATTGGTATATTGAGCAGAGTCCAATGGAGAGGCTCAAGTCATACAAGCTGCTGCACAAGACTAAACGTCGAAATAGTGCTGGTGAGTTGTACGCATGTCAGACGAGAGAATTATTTCATTATTTTACTTATAGAGCCTTGGTTCCTAAATGAAAAAAAACTCGCGAACGAAGGCACAATGGAAAAATTTTTCACGAGCTAAACTTTACCGTTCGGAAGTTAGGACTGTAAATTCAAAATTTCGTTCGAATTTGTTCAGTAGTTCTGACATTGACTTCGGACTACCGCCCCCCCTATCTCGCCCCCCTACCGCCCTCTTCTTCCTTACCGCCCCTCAAAATCTTTCCACCGCCCCTAAGGGGGCGATATCGCCTACTTTGGGAACCACTGTTATAGATTTTGGCTCGGTTTATTGTTGCCATAGGTGCAAGCTTTTTCATTAATTATTAAAAAATGTACCTAGTTCAACTTGAATAAGAATCTATTTTTATATCGTTAACAATCTTTCCTTGTTCAAGTAACCTAAAAATTTTTTGACTGATTCGCTTTAATTTGCAGAGAACTTGATCCTGTATCTGGATACAAGGTACGCGAGAACTCAGAAGAAGTATGAGCAACTGCTCAGCAACAACAGGGACCTAGCCCGCTCTCTGACTGAACAGCGTCTGGAGACTCAACATTAGTGAGTATTTCATACCGTAAGCACTGGCTGCATTATCTTTGTATAATTTGTTGTTGGAATTATCTGATGTATCAATTGAATGGCATTGAAATATAAAAAATTTTTAATTCATATATCGGTAACAGAAATGTGTGTTTTGGCATCAGCTTTGCCCTCGAGTTGAATTATTATTTAAAGACATTTCATTTAATAATAAATCTTTCATCCTGATTTGTGCAATTAGTTAATATTCTCTGATATAATTTTTGATTTTTTCAGCTCAACCAGCAAAGCTTATTGCTGGAATTGTAAAATTGGCAAGGCTAGCTATTGATGGCTCCACTTTTTCAAAGGTTTTATTACTATATTCATCAAGACTATTTGGTTTTAATTGTAACTTCTGTAAAATGCAATTGTACTTGAAAGTAATACTTGCTGCTTAAATCTCTGGCACTGATCATTTCCTCATTCTTATGCGTCTCTATACATAATTTAAATCACTTTTCCTGTTAAGTGTGTGTACTTACATACATTAAAATACGATTTTTCAAGTGTACGAATATTTATTCCCCCCCACTGTATCTAGCTCTCTAGGTGTGGTGGGTTCAGTGTCTATGTACCAGTTATTCACTCTATTAGTTGAAAGAAGCAACTGGTCAACTAATACTTAAGAATGTGTAAATAGAATTTAACCTGAGTTGACTCGGGCATTAAGCCAGTTTACATGTAAATCTCGTACAACCCATTGTGGAAAATTATCTTGAAGTACAAAAATGTGGAGAAAATTTGCACAAAAATTATTGAAGGTTTAGGCTCGTAAGTACGGTTTTGCAATTTTTATATTAAAAATCATGAAATGTTAATAGAATATTTGTTGGTTATGTTGATCAAAATCTATATGGTGAATTAAAAATTTGGTCTATTTTTTGCCTAACATGAAAGTTTAAATTTTGAAAGATTTTGAATTTGTTTTATTTTATTTGACATAGAACCATTTTTCTATTAATCCAATATCTCTTTAAAATAAAAATTGTAAAAAAATTTGAGCCTTACCAACATTATTTCATAACGTGGAATATATTTTGGAAAATGGAACAATTGAAAAAAATTAATTGCTTGTCAATTCCATTTAATAAAATTAAACAGTATATCTGCATCTATTTGTTCAAGAGTTCCATCTGGAATGGCATTTCGCTCTGTTTTTGTTCACTCATCACCAGTGTTTTAAATGCTGAAAAGAATAATGCTCATTCCCTTTAATGCAGTTTTATAATATTATAGTATCACCATAAGTGTGGAAAATAAATTCTAATTATATTGTGATTGAAATTTAAATTAAATAACTCAATTAAAAAGTGTCGTGAAGTTAATAATTGCTGTTGTGATAGCCGAAATGTTTGTTCAGGTTCACTGAACNGATCTGGGTGAAAAAACAATCGCTAGGAGTCATGTGCTGCACGTGTTGTGTACAAATTGTCAAACAAACGTTGGAACTTCTGACTTTGACTTCGGACTACCGCCCCTCTTATCGCCCCCCAAACGCCCTCTTCTTCCGTATCGCCCCCCAAAATCTTTCCACCGCCCCTAGGGGAGCGATATCGCCCACTTTGGGAACCACTGATTTATATTATATATATTTTTTTTGGTTGAGAACATGACATATGTCAAGTAAAGTTATCTAGAGCAGAGAAGCTGGTGTGAGTCTTCGATACACGTTATTTTTTTATTATTTTAGTTTGAGCACATGGCACACATATATCATATAAAGATATCATATTTCCATGATGTGTTCTCCATGCTAGTTACCATGCCTCTTCCCATTGATACCATACCTTGGTGCCATTGGTATTAGATGGCTGTTATGACGAAACTACATGTAACTTATGATTTATGATCGATGTGAATTTTTTTTTACATTGTCAATGTGGTCTTCCTTTTATTGACAATGTATATTTACATGTGGTCTTCCATTTATTGTATTGGTGTGTATGTATCTGTGATCTCTGATCTACTCTGACATTATCTGAATGGTTTGTTCCTTTTCTGCACCAGGCCGCCACGACTTGAACATGAGCGCCATCAACGAGCAGGAAGCATCAGACGATGAAAATGACAGTAGTTCCTTTTCTGCTGATGACGATGGCGAAGACGAAGGCAACATCACTGAAATAATTGAAGAACATTCCAATAATGCTACGGCTGCAGGACTCCCCTCCGCACAAAATACCCAAGCAACAGGGCTAAGTTCCGAGGGTATCGGGATGCGGTTATTAAAGAGCGTTCTAGGTGTGCAGGGCAGCAATCTGCTAGTGCCTCGGGTGAACATCAACGCTGAGTGCAACGCTGCTGCCACCGCCGCTCTTCGTAGCTACAGTCACAAGCACGCAGCCCGGGACAGCGTCACTAAATCTTACTCCAGCGAAGATGACATTAATCTCGATTCCGTGACTGCACTTGTCAACAAATCTTTGCAGTCTGGACCACCGAAACGCAGCTTTTCTCCTGCCCAGTCTCCGAGGATGAAGAAAAAGAAATCGGTGAGTACCATGTAAGCTATTCTGTTTAGAATGTATTTACTAATTTTATATTATCTCACTCTATGGTGTTTATTTGATAATGAACTGATTGTGATGAAAATTCAATGGCAGGAGTGGACAATATTCTCTTGTTTTGCGTGCAGCTGAATGGGCGTGACGCGTGTAGTGAAGACAATGAGCCACTGTCTGTTGAAGACGATCCTCTCGAGGGCCCGAGTTGGCTGTACAGTCCTGAAGCGACAAGGAATCGCTTCAAACCCAGACGAAAAACGAAAGACCGTTCAGAAAAAATATCCATGTCCCATACGCGGGAATCTTTGGTCGGTGAGACGGATGGGTTGCCCCAACGCGGATGGGTTCATCCGACAGAAGATGACGCAACTGCGACGGTCCCTGTTGCTGACGGTGTTAATTCTCTTGATCTTTCACATTTAGATTCTGTAGATAGAAATGCTTCTGCTGTCACTTACGAAAACATTCCCGACAACTCTGATCCTGGGATAATATGCCGTCCGCGTAGGGGCAATCAGTTAACCGTTGCCGCCCGAGAGTCGGACACTGATAGTCGCTTCAGTAATTTTGTCCCCGAGATTGCTGCTAGTGAAGACGCCGCAATGAGCTTTGTTGATGCAGACGCTCTACCTAATGTTCGTAGGAGTGTGGCTCGGCGCGGACGTGGCAGGAAATCTTCGGTGTCTTTCTCACATATGGTTCAAGTACTGGAAGATGAAACTGAGGGTAAATACCATGCATTTAGGACGCGATCGCAGTTCAAGGACAAAGTGCCTGAAGAAGAGGGTGCGGTCGACACTTCTCTTGTATCGAAACGGTCGACGTCAGTATTGAGGAATAAAGACCGCTCAACTCGAATGAAATCGAAACCCCATACCTCAGAAGATCGAGTATCTGACGACAGTGATCTTCAATTAATTTTGGATGAATCTAACAACTCAGAGAATACTGAAGATTCTGTGGTAGCAGGGAATTCTTCATCAAAGGCTCAAGACAAGAAGCCCGAAGTAGAAGTTATTGTGGAAGTTCAAAATTTCTCTGGTAACTATGAGAGGTCAGATGAATGCAACATGGCGGCTCATAATTCAAACGATGATACCATTCAAACCACTAACAAGATGCTACGGAGATTTGAAGAACTGGATAAGATGTGTCCCAGACGAAACAGACGCAGGACTAAGCCTAATAGTGGTGTCGATGCAGATGAAGAAACGGCTTCAGAGCTTTCTGATGGCAGTTCAAATTTGCAGGAAATTTTCGCTGAGAAATCTGATATTTTGGATAAAGAGGAAGCTGTGGAGAATTTAAGTGAGCCGCCTTCGAAAAAGGAGAAGGAAAATATTTCTTGCGAAAATGGGAGTCTTCCATTTCTTCTTCCGTTTCCAAAATCTTCCTCCGATGCCATTAATTCTGATAATCGTGCTCAAGTCGCTGCTGGTGAATCTGATCTTGAACTCGCCCATTTACCGGAGTTTGTTGCCAATGAGACATGCTTGGATGAAGAACCAATGGAGCTTACTCTTGCCGTCCCGGCTGGACCCTCATCCACTATTAGTTGCGAGCAGCGTTCAAAATGTAAGAAGACAAAATCGAAGACGTCGTCACTAGCAGATGAAGAATCCGTCGAGACCGATACAAATTCTGGACAAGGAAATGCAGAAACTCAGTTGAAGCCAAAGCGCTGCCCCAGAAGTAAGAAGGGAACTCTGACTACTGGGGATGCAAGTTTAACTTCGAAAAAGATTCCTGATTCTCGCAGTGAATTTGATTTATCGCAGATGGAAGCAACTGTACTCAATATTGCACCATACTCTTCGACTAGAAAACTCAAGACTTCTGAATCTGAAAAATCTCAACTGTCGCGATTGTCTATCGAAAAACCTGATAAACGTGTGTCTATAGTTCTGGTGGATGTTTGCAAGGATGGCGTCCCTATTCCTCAACTTGTTGAGGCTGAAAGTGATGAAAAAAATGTTAGCACCACCGCGATTTCGAAGCTCACTCGATCTAAGCGAAGTAAGCGTCTTTGCTATTCCGAAGAGGATTTGTCAGAAACCGACAATGAAGATGGAAACGACCAAGTCCTTGCGACTGTAGAGTCACAATCCTCTAATCGTGGACGTCGGCGAGGGTATAAATCTAAACGGATTGATGGCGTAGCCGACTCTACTGAGAAAAGCGGCCGAGCGTTGGTATCTAATTCAGCTTGTACTAAAAAATCTCTCCGAAATTCGCAGAGTTATGATGGTAGCTCACAGAAAGATGCAGTCGCGACCAGGGAAAGTGACGAAGATTCTGATTTCGTCAATACCCCTCCCAAGAGGAACAAGGTTTTGTCTCCTGTTCTTCCGAAGGTAAGTGCCGACGAAGAAGATACTGATGTCTCGTCTAATGCTGATGTTAACGCCTCATCCGCGAAAATATCTGCAGGCACTTCGTCTGTAGTCAAAAACTCACCTCTCAGCTTGACTCGAAGAAAGAAAGTGTCGAGTGCAGGAAGCTCTGAAATCAATGGGACTCGAAGTGACCGTGTCAGTCGATCGCAAATAACTGACTCCGATTCATCTTTCTGCGTGGACTTGGTAGACATCAACGAACTTTGTGACGCAAATGAAGCTGATCCTGAATCTCAGGAAGAAGAAATGTTCAACATGCTGAAAAGGAAGCGTGCAAAAAATCGGGACGTTTCTAGTTCAAGTGATGAATTTGAGGAATCTGGCGGTGAATCCGCTCGTAACGGAACTGATCATGCTGGGAAACGGAAACTAGATGCCTCTACAGCATTCAGAAATAATGCAGGTGGCAAATTTTCGTTCTCTAAGCTCACTACTTGTAAAGTAATGAAACTTGTTACGAATGAATGTTCATCGAAGGTTAATAGTGAAATCGAACGAAGCGGAGATCAAGATGACAATGGACAGAAAGCTGAGGAAGATCCGCTGCTCGTATTAAGTCCTTTAGAAGCGTCAGAAACTGACGAGGAAAAACGTGACGAGGTGTACTCACCGATTGTAAATAGTGACGATGGAATAGATAATGCAATTTGTGATGGTGGAGAAGGCAAAACTGATGACGTTAATGAAAATAATGACTATAGCGATGGTGGTGGTAAAAGAAAAGTCAACATTAGAGCTAAGGGCGATGGAGTCAAAGCTAATGTCGGCAGAAAAACTGTCTGTGTAGATGTGGCCCAGTCCGAAAAAGGTGTTGACGATGCGAGCGGCAAGCGTGAATCTGTCGATGACGATGACTGTAAAGGAAACGATGTAGGTGTTGATGGTGGAGCCGAGAATGGAGGTGATAGCAGTGGTGCCGAGAATGGAGGTGGTGGCAGCGGAGCCGAGAATGGAGGTGGTGGCAGTGGAGCCGAGAATGGAGGTGGTGGCAGTGGAGCCGAGAATGGAGGTGGTGGCAATGGATCCGAGAATGGAGTTGGTGGTGGCAAGCGGACCAGCAACGGAGGAGCTATTGTTTTTCCTACGGCCAGCCACCCTCGCAGGGCTGCTACGAAAGCTGTCTCTTATGCAGAACCCAAGCTTAATAGGTGAGTTACTCCCTGGCAGACTATGTGTCTTGCCAGGTCTTGAGATACGATAACTTCGGTAGGTATCGAGATGTTTGTGATAGATTGGAGATATTAGTGGAACGTCTGAGACACTGATGATGGGTCTTGAGATATCAGCCTTAGGTCTTGAGATATCAGCCTTAGGTCTTGAGATATCAGCCGTAGGTCTTGAGATATCTGAGTTAAGTATTAAGATAACGTACGACAGCCATACATTGCCTGTCTTTATGAATTGATTGCTGTGTCATGTCAAATACACGCTATTCTCTTATTATATTCGTTTTGTTGATGTGCAGCAAACTGCGTCAGGGCGACCCGCTTGCCACAAAACTCCCGAGGAACGGCTCCTCTGAAGCCTCGTGCGCTCAAGACGTGCCCAAACAAAAGGGGCCCAAGCGGCCTAAACTTATACGTCGATAGCCTAACAAGTCAGGCGAATTAAACTACTATTTCTCTAAATAATGTTCTTATTATTTGCATTTCCAGAAATAATGGACTTGGTTCGAATCATTTCTTAGCGGATAATTTTGAAACCCTTTGTGGATTTTTAAAAATTCTTCGTAGATTTCTTCAAAAAGCCTCGTCTGAATTTTGACTTGCCTGTTTTCTCGCTCTTTAGAGCTATTATTGTAAATATCTGAAAAATTCGTAACTGGTTGTATTCTTTGATATCATTCTTTGATATCAAACGTAAATATCATTGGGAAAAATATTTCGTTGATATTTACGCGCATCACTGTGAAGCGAGCATTCTCTTGATGCGAATTCGCTTAATGGTTTCTATTGTCGCAGTAAACGCGAATAAAAGGAATGTGTCGTGCGCCTGTCGTTCGTATTTAAGTAGGTGTGCATTTATCCATGAGGTTCTAATTAAGTATACCCTTCGTACTAGTTCATTTTTGTGTGCAAGCGTTTCTTTACTTGTATGTTTTAGACGTAGTTTGGAAACCTTAGGAACTTTCGAGGTTTCTTTAAAGACGCCGTCACTATGGCGTGGTAAATTTTAAGAAATCTTCATTATCCTGTTTGGATGTTTCAGTTATTTGCTATTGTGATGGTTTTCCCTCTTAGATTTGTATACAAATCAGATCATTACTTTGGAATGAAGTAAGTTCTGAGGATCAAAGGGACGTTTAAATTATGAATGAGGAGCAATTTTTTTATAGCTATATTATATCTATATTTATGTTGGCTACATAAGCTTTATTTTACCATCATTTTTGAGAGTCAAGACTGAAAAACTGTAGTAATTTGAAGTTTCATTCATGAATACTTTTGTTGAGACTAGAAGTGTCGAATAATAGGAACACTGATATCCCGTATTAACTTTACGATGTAGTTACCTTAGCATAATGGCAGCACAGCGGGCGATCAGCCTTGTTTGAAATACGCTATATTACTGCTTTAAATTTTCTAGTTATTACTGGGCAGACTAATGATATCATGACTAAGTTATGATGTTTCATGTTCGTTTATTTTTAACTTGTCCCCTTTTGATGGTCAACTTTTATATTCTCACACCATTTCTCTCACCCATAATAGCTCCATTTTGTGATCCATCCGTTTATTTTTCAATTCATTGTATAAATGAATCTCATACATATTTGTTTCATTATTATTTCAGCTGAGGACTGTTTAACAACCCAAGTACGATGGTACCGCCCCCTGGCTCAGTTCTTGTTGATTTTGAACATGATAGTTCAATAAGGTGATCTTTGTCGCTTTTTAAATAAACTGTTAGCCCGCATCTCGTCTTCATTCGTACTTCTGCTGCGCTCTTCTCCTCACTACAGCCAAGCGAAGAGCTCGAGTATCACTAAAGCATTTATCCATTATACATTGAAATTAAGCAGAGCGGTCCGATGTTGCCCAAGCTTTGAGGTGTCGAAATAATTCGATAAGTGAAAGCTATTTAATTTGTCCCCAGACACGCTGATTGAGGATCGATGCAGATAAACTAATGATATTTTTCATGCCATATTTTGTAGTGGAACTTTTAAAAATGACTTGCACTGATGGTTGCCGCCACGTACGACAAATTTAAAATGTTCTCTTTTGCGAACAAAAGTCCTCAGGTTGCTAAACTCAGTAGTTTACGTATAATTTAAGTTGAAAGTTATGTTCCCGGAGAGCGACACACGGCGGTAGAGGACGATATAAACGAGACAATCTATGAAGGAGCCCAGGGAAAGTCTGCCTGCGTGCCATCCTCTATCATCCTCGATCGGTGGGGTCGCAATCGTCACGTTTCACTTGTTCACCCCTGAAACGATTTTCTCTTCTGTTTGCGGTTAGGTTGGATCGTTAATTTTTCAGCGCTGGGGGTTCTTTTTTTGCGCTGCAAGTCCAAAAATGTCTCACCGCACAAACATTGGCAGGGGCTGTTTTTTTTTGACTGGGATGATTGCTTCTCGTGGCTGCGATGAATTGACAGGAGTCATTCTAATGGCATCTGTGTTTGTTGCTCGCAGGGCGGTACAGCGGTGCATTGAATTGTGACCAGAAAAGCCATACATTTTTGCTCCGTTAGTCCTGCTCGCCAAGTGAGAAAACAACGGATACGATATCGACGATATTTGTAGAAAATCATCAATAGCGTGGAACTTTAATTATCCTGTTGAAATAAAAAGGCATAATTGATGACAGAAGAATTTCCCGACTGTATTATGAACAAATAAAGACCAAAATCACATTAATTTTGTGGATTATTTTATTGGTTTGTCGAGCGATATTATAGTTTTCAGGCAATTTTTCATCCAATTTAATTTAATTGGGTGATGAGCGTAATTGGCGTTCCGCTGGTTTGAGGAACAGATGAAGTGCTAAAAATTTATCCATGGCAAAATATACTCGTGTTCTCATGCTGTGCACGGAGTGTAAGTAACCGCTCGAGTTAGGAACTATGCTTTTTACGATCAAGATTTTCTTAATTAAGCGTTTATAGATACTGAAAGTTCAATAGGTCAACTACTGAACTTTCAATATCTATAAACGTAATATTTTATTTAAATTTTTAAGAGCTCTTCGGCATTAAGATAGAAAATTTCCTGGTTCATTGCGGGTCCTGTTCAGTGTTCATTTCGTGGTAGTCAAGGCATGCGTGTTGAGTTTGCCTTACAACTCTTATACAAATGAATATCGTGTGATCCGAATAGTAACAGTCTTCTTTTACCCATCGCGCGAGCAGAGAACGGACGTAGCACCGATACGCACTTTTATTTGTGTCATGATTACCCTTAAGAGGGCATAAAAATAAAGTGCATCGCTATTCGGACCAAGTCTCACATTTATCTGAGTGTAGGCCGAAAAGCTCAACTCTGGCCGCTCTCAAATGCCCTCTCGTCTTGAACCTAGTCTCGCAAATGCTGTTGCTCTTTGCGTTGATGAAGAAGCATCGTTGATGCAAATAACACAAAGAAGCAAGCGTCTCATTCAGAAAGGAAATTTCAGCGGAAAAATACAACCTGTTTTCCAGATTTGTTCCCTTGAACATCCTGCAGTGACTGGTGTGTGTTTATTGTTGCGAAATGATGGGTTCAATGGCAACGTCACTATAAAAGTTTATTTAGAGCAACATAAAATTCTGGATCACGAGCTGCTTGCAAAGAATGATGTAGCGTTAGGGCCGTGAAATGTGTTCATATTCCCCATTGATCAAGTCGACGCTATATATTTTTCTGTTTAATTTACGAAAATTCCAAAGCCTTCCATTACCATAGAAAAGGTCGTGAACTTGAAACCAGATCAGAATATAGACCATGGGCCTATTTCTTCAGTGCCGACGCTTCTATTCTATAATGGTAGTCCAATAATTGAGAAGGACTCGACTGGATGAAATCTCGCACAATGAGAGCCTTTGATGGAATATAGGGGAAGCCGCCAATCGAGTTAGGCGAGCATTTGCTCGGAAAAACCCCTCATCATTCCCGGCGCTGGAGCAGATACGATGTGCGATTTTTTTGGAGCACATCACGCAAGAGGTTGGCCGTAAATCTCATTGTTGGGGGACTTGCGCAGTTCGTTGGTCTGGCATCAAACAAACGCAGTCGAGGCAGGAGCAAGAGACTATTTTTTTGACCGTCAAAAAGGATCTTCACGAGAGGTTACTTCTCGGAAATGAAGTAAAACTGATTGAAAATATATGCAATATAATCTGCTGAGAAACATTTGCTCCCACTGATAAAACTTTCTAAGGAGAAAATCTGCTTGATTGGCAGGAGTATTCTATTTTATTGTGTTTGTTACCAAAAGAATTATAGATGAATGAAACTGAAAATTCGCATCAATTGACAGTGAAAATTCCAATTCACAAATCAACCGATAATTAGTTAGACAACTAAACATCAGAAAAATTGAACTTCCTGTCATTTGAAAAATTTTGGAGACCTCTTGTGAAAACATAAAATGGCTTTATCATCAGAATCCAGCTGATCAGCAAAGTAGTCTCGAAGCTAAAGCGATCCCGTTTGTGAAACTGCAACATTGTGCTCCAATTTCACATTTTAAGTTGTATACTGGTTTTAACCCTCTCGTGACTGACGGAATTTCCCGGGTTGATGTCAATTGTTTGGTTCAAGGTTAAACTTTTTCTGAGGGTAAAACTTTCCCTGAAGGTTACGCTTGGTTAAAGGTTAGCCTTTGCCGGAAGAGACAATTTGACTGAAGGTTAGCCTTCGTCTGACGGTTAGACTAGTTTGAAGGTTAGACTTCGTCTGAATCTTAGTTGAAGGTTTCCCTCAGCCTGAATCGTGAATGTTATTTGATGGTTAGTTTTTTGCAGGAAGGTAACGCTTGGCCTGACAGTAAAAATTAGCCTCTACGTTTGTAAAAAACTAAACTGTGTGAAAGGTTGCTGCTGTGAAGAAGGCTTCGAAGCAAGGAAGGACGTGCTAACTGGTGCTATATCGTCCTACCATGGCATCTGCCTGTGGGTCAGTCTGAACTGTCGGAAAACATAATTTTATAATTATCAATTTATACACGTTATCATTTAAAATAGCTTTTAACATAACGAGAATTAAGTAAGATTACTTTCTGATAGAATCGGAAAGCAATTTTAATTTTCTCTCTTAATTCTTATTCCATGAAATGTTAATCAATATCTTAGTTTGAGAGCTGCGTGACGATAGTAGCCTGCGAAAATTTATGTTACACGCTATAACCTAACTAAGACCTCTAAAAAATTAGAATCTAGCCACATGTGACACCAACTCTTACGAGTTACTCCAATGTCTACCTCAGTTAGTGAGGATCCCGAATCAGCTACCATTGTCAATACTTGAAACTTCCCTCAGCTGAAATGGATGAAAATAGAATAAACCATTCTGTAAGATCTACATAGAGAAGGTTGCAAAGCCTAGATGCTTGCTGTGTACCATGATAGATACACTTAGCGACAGGAGTGAAGCTAGGTTTCCACGAGGATAGAAGCAGCATGTATACGTTCAAACTCGTGATTAAATAAGGTCGATTTTATTCAAACTAATCAAAAGTTAAGATTATCAACAAACGTAGTAAGTCAACTATTCATGTTTTCTCCTCTCGGTTGTTTCCTTGCTTAGTGACTACCGATTAGTAACTATTTTCCTTCCTTTGCTGCCTGGAAATCTGGACAATGTGCAGTCTCATTTGTAAATACTGACTTAACAGAGACGTTATTATTACAGTGATTGGGCTTGGCCCCGCTGATGTAAAGGTTTAAGCGAACGTTTAATTTCACATCAGCTGATAACATCTGTAGTTCAGTATAAAAACACACGAAATGTATGTTTACAGCATTAACTACATATCTCGGCAATCTTATATTGAACTTGTCTGCATTTTTTGTCTAAAAATGATAATATTGTTAATAAATTAATATAAATTATTTAGGGGGCTTATGAATATTCTATGAGTACTGAAACCCCCCTAAAATAGGCCTAATAAAGCCACGGTCACATGGACAATGCGCTTTTTTCGGTTACTGGCAAGCGTTACAAATCTGACCGTCTGAGAGCAGTGGTGTTTTTGACGCACTCTAGTTTCGTCTGTCACGAGGCGTCAGTAGATCCTACAAGAGATCGAGGCAAGCCTCGAGACTGCGTCGTGTTGGGGCGCGCGTGTCATACGTTTAAAATATTGAGCTAGAGTTTTGGTGCCGTCCCGCGTTGTTGAACTAATAAAGTCACAAAACTCTCGGCCCGGAGTGAAAACATGGAAATAAGTCATCCTCTGAACGTGCGGCGTGACCGCAAAACACGATTCCGACACGTCGTCGATATGAATTGAGCACCGTAGGCGCTTATTTGTGAAGGAATGAAACTCGTGTTGGGGCAAAATAATATTCGATTAAAGCGTCTCGGTAGTGGTCTTATATTATGTCTCGGTAGTGGTCTTATAATGTCTCGTTAGTGGTCTTATAATGTCTCGGTAGTAATCTTATAATGTCTCGGTAGTGGTTTTATAATGTCTCTGTAGTGGTCTTATAATGTCTCGGTAGTGGTCTTATAATGTCTCCATATTGGTCTTATAATGTCTCGGTAGTGGTTTTATAATGTCTCGGTTGGGGTAGGAATGTCTTGATTGTAGTCTGGATGCTCGTAAATAGTCTTTACACTATCCTCTTATCATAACGCTGTTTACACGAGCTTTTTACTTTTCATCGTAATAGAACTGGAGATAATGAGATCCTCGCTAAGTGCTTCTATTTCAATTATTTGCTTTACCTACGAATGCTATAGGGTGCATTACCAGATTAATATAATTCTC